TAATAATCTTATAAATTTGTAGCTCTATGACTTTGCTGGACAAGGAAAATTTCCATTAAATGTATTTGCAGATTTTAGAATCATAAAATCAACTAAAACTTTATTATCTAATACATTCGATGAAGATCCAGAGGCATTGTACTGTCACATAGATTTTGTATCAGTTCTTGATACACCTAGCTGGAAAGAATTTGCACAATTAATAGCGCAGAGAGCATTTGACCAGTACAAAGCAAAGTAGGATTTTTTTTTTTTCTTTAACAAATTGTATTAATTCACTAATTAACGTAAATTCATTTACTATAGACCTCATTGGGCGAAGGAATGGGAATTTATTCCGAAAGTAGATTCTTATCTTGCTAATGCCTTATTGGATCAAATTAAACAATTTGAGAAAGTACGTGCAAAATACGACCCTGATAAAATTTTCTTTGATAATAAGTCCTTGCAGGATATATTTATTATAGCTTTAGGTTCACAAAGTGGTGAAGTCTCAAATAAAAAGAAATATTACTGATGATACTAAGATTAATTTAATATTAGAATTATGTAGCTAATCGAGTTTCATGACCCATAATATAAATTTTTGGATTAATATAGTTTTTAATTGATAAAGCTCTATAATATAATATCGAATTAATATAGTTTTTAATTGATAATGCTCTATAATATAATATCGAATTCAAATTTATAAAGTCATAAAAAACAGTAGTTTTGTTTTAAGCTATTCTTTGTTTTATGAATGTATATTCCCAATTCTTATATATTATAAGTACTGAAGATCAATAGTAATTGTCCAAACAAGATGCAAAGAAAACTGTATACGAAAATAATTTCCTTCCTTATATATTGAATGTCTGTATTAAAGGGGCCAATTTTTAGAGATATTCATTTTATCTGATCCATTTTTCACATATACTCTACTTTCGTTATAGCGGATCTCTCGATATAGCAGAATGATTCTCTAGAATATTTAAAACCATAGTATTACATTAAATAATGCTTTAGCAGATATTTATTATAAAATATGAAAATTTCAGCCCGATCAATCTGTTACAATGAGGTAGAGTGTATGTGTAAGTAGTACTGTATAATGGCTGTGCGCAAGTATGAACCAGGCCATATCGACTTTTTACCGTGCGTGCGACTATTTGCTGTTTGTGGAATAGATATAATTTTTTTTTTACGATCTTTCATTATGTCTTCGAGGATTAGTGACTTTCAATTCATCTACTTAATAAAAATCTGCGAAAAATGCAGAAACTTATTCGTAAAAAGGAGATAATGCTTTTATTCATGATTTTTTTAGACATACCGTATAAATCCGAACGTAAACAACCCCCGAAAATAAGCAATACCTTAGTTTTAAATGTTAAAATACTAAAAAAATAAAACAAGCAACTCTCATAAATAGAATAGATAGAATTAGGTATTTCAAAGTTACTGAATTTAAGCAACCCTTTAAAAATTTTGGCTAAAATTGGTGGCTTAAAGGGTTACTTATTTTCGGACCTATACGGTAGTAACAGTTTCTTAACTACGACTTTCATTATGGTCTCTGATGATCATAGATTGTCAATTTATCTGTCAGGTAAAAAAATCCTCAAAAAAAAAAAAAAAAAAAAAAAAAAAAACAGAACTTATTTTATTACTACCACATGCACCTTCATCTTGTATATAATTCACTACAATAGTAATTTTGGAATCATTTTATAAAAAATTTTCCGAGAATTGCAAAGAATGTTGGTTAAAACCTCTACAAAGATATTTTTTGACGAAAATCCTTTCCATTTTAATCAGAAAGTAAATGTGGCGGATCACGAGTAAAATCATAGCCAATAAATAAATAAGACGATCCAATAAAATCTACGGCATGCCAATAAAAAAAGATAGGAGTTAAAGTTCACCGAAAGTTGTCAACGGAATTACTATTACATTCACTCCTGACCAAAAATTTTTCCGGAGTTTACTTATTTTAAAATTGAGACTATTCAAAATCGTTTAAAATAGTTAGCCTATCTTAATCCGAACGTCAGTTTGATTTTTGCTACTTCACCTGAGGCTACGCCTATTGTCTATCATTATAATAGCAGTCTAGCTGGCTGAGTAAAGGAAATAAATCAAGATAATCACTTAGAAAATACTGAAATTTGTGCCGAAGAATGAATCAGACCAAGCGAGGATTTTATTTTTATATGTAACTAGGCGCTTGAGTTGTTTAAAGTGAGTTAGAATAGAGTATACTTAACTAATTACAATAGAATTCACAACGATTCCAATAAAACTACATATTTTAACCACATTATAATTACTAGAATAGTAAGTTTGTAGCAAATTATTTGCAGAAACTTATGATAGAAATCACGACAATTCTAACTAATTTTAATCACATATTAATAGTTACTGAAATAATTATTTACAGTAACTCACGATAGGAATCATGACAATTTTAATGCAAACTAACTTAATTTAACTATATCTTACATTCACCAGATTAGTAATTAAGTTCTGTAACAGAACACTGTTTATATTAATTTGTGATAAAAAACATAATAATTCAAATATAACTTGTTTTAATCAGAATAGAAAGTAAGTTCTGTAATCGCACTTTTAATAACTCATGAATAAATTATGTTAATTCAATGCAAGCTAATTCAACATTATTTGTGGTTACCAAAATAGCGAGTAAGTTCTATGCCAAAAATTTTTAAGTAACTCATGAAAGAAATTACAAAAATTTTAATGCAAAGACTAACTCACCTTAATATTGAAATAGCAAATAGGATTATTTATAGTATATAACTAATAATAGAATGCACAACAATTCCAATGCAACCGACAACATATTGTGGTCAACAAAATAGCAAGTTCTGTAAAAGAATTATTCACAATAAAAATTCATAGCAATTTTAATACAAACTACTCAAACTTAATTACATATTATATTTATTGGAATAGAAGTAAATTTTTTTAACGGAATTTTGTTTACAATAACTCATGACAAAAATCATGAAAATTCTAATATAAACTTATTTAACTAGAATAGTAAGTTCTATAACAGAATTTTTTTAGTAACTTACAAATAAATATTAATCACATTGTAAATTAACCTACCTGAAGTACTTATAGTGGTCACTAGAATGACAGAAGTAAGTTCTGCAACAAAATTATTACAGTAATTGATAAAAATTATGACAACTACAATACAAACTAACACAAATCTAACCATATACTAGCAATCTGCCTGTGCCAGAGGCATGGAAATTTTTTTAAAAAATTCTCATTGCTGCAAAAATTTCATTATGGAACTTGCTGTAATCAAAGTATGTACAAGTTAGCTTGCATTAGAATTATCATGACTCCTATAATAAGATACAGTAAAACTTGCTATTTCTATGATGATAGTTTGTAGTTAAGGTTTGAGTTTGTATTAAAATTATCGTAATTTCTCTTATGAGTTGCTATAAGAAATTCTGTTACAAATCCCACTCTTAATTCCAGTAATCAAATATGTGGCTGGTTATTTTGTATTAGAATTATCGCAACTTCTTTCTGTAAAAAATCTGATCTGTTACAGAATTTACTATTCTAGTCCAGCATAATATATAGTCGTAACTTCTATCATAAGTTAAAGTAAAAGCTGCTATTGTAGTTGTCATAATTTTTATGAATTACAGCAGAAATTCTATTACAAAACCTACCCACCATTTCAGTAATTAAAAATTCGGTAAGTTAGTTTGCATTAAAATTATCATAGTTTCATCATAAGTTGCTGAAAATATTTTTAAAGAACTCGTTATTCCAGTGAGACATAGCATGAAGGTAAGGTCAAGTTAATTTCATGTTGAAATTATTGGGACTTCTACCATGAACTACAGGTGAGTTAGTCATGGCAGAAAAATGTCGCGGTAACGTGATCTCCGACCATTTCCGACCCTTTTGATAGTCCAAGTTAATACAGATCGAAGAGCGATAGCATTT